CCATTATTGCTAAAGACTTTTTATCTCGAATGCAAGTAAGTTAATAATATTTTTTTTTTTTTTAAAATACTAATTAATTCAAATTTAATGCTACTTATAAGATGGATTTGATTGATCTATCATTTGGGGTTTTTGCTAGGAAAATGACCCTCCGAGACCGATCATCTGATTTTGAGTAAACAATAACTAAAAATTTGTTACACAAATTGAAGATCATCAAATCTGCTGCTAAATTTAGATTTTGTTACACAATGTTAACACAAAATTTTTGCTAGTAAAATGACCCTCCGAGACAATGTTACACAAATTTTAAGTTACACAAATTTTTTGCTAAAAGCGTTTTGGGTCCCATATTCAATTTCTATAATACAATAAAAGATCCCTTTCAGCAATGAACTATACCAGGCACAAACCGTAGAACCTATATTAATCAAATGCAATTCTTCAAATAGCTGGACTGCCAACTATAAAGTGTATGCACTTCAAATTTTTTCTTTTCATAACCTCTTAACCAGGGATTTTCTACGGAGATATTTAATATCACCGCAGAAAATTATCGGCTCAGCTCTCGGCAGTGTACTATACCCGGGTCTATTAAAGAGGTTAAAATTGGTATTGTATTAGACCTGGGTCTTATACTACACCTATAGTTGGTGGTAGAATTAATTTGTGCCATAATGCCATAATACTGTAATATGTTACAGCATTACGGCATATAATATTTACAGCAATTAGATACGTACCATGCCGTAATTAATTCTACCACATGGTAAAAATGCCGTTATGCCGTAATTCCGCCAACCATAACTACACCCTTACGGTACTACTCAAATACACGTGTAATACTGTAAGAATTCATCCGCGACAACTACAAATACAATGATCATGTATGTATGAAGTTATATCTTCTTTATAGTAATTTAATTAACCCGTAATTTAGGTTCCCGAAGATTTATCTGTCAGGTTTAAAATATTTTATTCTTTTGGTGATTATGTAAGAAATTTTTTCCAGAAATTATATCAATACTATTCATTCATGTCAATTTAGAACATTCTTAGGTGGTACCCTTAGTATTGTTTGCTAGCGATTGAGCTGTTGCCGAACAATTAAATTTTAATGAATGATTCATGGTAAGTAGTGCTGCTAGGCAAACTATTTTTGTAAAATGATGAAAGATGAAACCTACCCCCAAAAATGAAAACTTCCGTGAAAGCCAAAGCCTCCCAAGAAATTTGCGAAAGATGAACCTACTCTCAAGACAAAGCCTCCCATGAAAGTCAAAGCCTTCTCGTAAAACTTGCGAAAGACAAAGACTCTACAAAAACAAACCTTCCTGTAAAAGATGATAAAAGTCCAAGCATCTATAAAGGTGAAGCCTCTGGTAAAAGGCAATACCTGGGAGGCTGCGCCATAGTTCAAATATGAAGTCATTATTTTCGAATAATCCTTGATTAAGCCATGTATTAAACCTCATAATATGGTAGCAGCTAAATTTAATAATTAATAAATATTAAAAGAAATTGTATAACGATAACTAAGTTTTAAAACAAGTTAAGACTTGAAATTTAACTATGCAATATTGATATGTCTGCATTATTTCACACATATGATGTAACAACATGATAGACTAATTTTGGCTTAGCATGAGAACTATTATCATTATAAATAATAGCTTAACGATAATGTCTCTGTTTAAGTAGCAGAATGAAAGTATAAAAAAGCTAACAAGCCCCAATGTAATAAATTGTGCATATAAACCCCATCGTTTCTTAGTAAAAAGGAAATGTAATGAATTAATGAAGACTTACCTAATATCAAGAAAATCTGTATTCTTGAACCCAATCGTAGGTACCTGTTTTTTGAGTTGCTTTCATAGTTTGTACATTTAAATTGACTCAAACTGTCCTCTTACAATAGCTTTCATAATAATCAAATGAGAAAGTCTACGCTATGTACATACTTAATTTGTCATTTACATGATGCGTGTTATTTCAGGTTCGTACTAATTTGAAACCGTATATGCATTTTATAGTGATAGGCATTATTCTCTTGGTTTTTCATTTTTTTTTTTTTTTTATTCTTTAATCTGACAGTATAAAACAGTATAAAAACAGTATAAAATCGCACAATTTTTTTTAAAAAGAATTATTTTTTTTTTAATTCGATAATAAAAAATCATGTAATTTTTTTTAAAATTGTTAATGGAAAATTTCGACTTAGATTCGACTTCTTTAAAACCAGTATATAATCTAATTGAGTTAGGATTAGAAGAATATGAAGATAATGAATTAGTTCTTGATACTGTTCATGATTTAATGCAATTTTTTGAACAATCAAACTGCGCATGCTGCCATGCACCTAATAAAAAAGATCTTAGAACGTGCTATGAAAAAGTCGGATTTAAAAGATTTTTTGAAAGACATTTTCAAGTAAGAGCATTAGACAAACCAGAACTTGAATTATTTTTAAAAGCACAATTAATGGCATTCGAAATTTCAAATGATAAATTAGAAGTTCATCAAAAACATAATTATAGATATTGTTATAATTATTCTTTTCCTCTTTGCAAACCTGTATTTTTAAAACTTTATGGGATAAATGAATATTTTCTTTCAGCAATGCAAGAACATTTACTAAATGAAGGTATAACAGAAAGAATTCACAGAAATACTGGTCATGTACCTATAGTAAAAAGCAAAGTATTTCTTGATTCTAGTATTACATTTCCTGTTAAACATTTTTTAGAACAATATGGAGCTATTAATGGATTACCATCTCCAATGAGACACAAAAACGAATCCGAACCATTTATTTATTTGCCTACTGGAAACACTTATGTTTCTGTTTATAACAAATTTAAAAAACATTTTTATAGTGAAAATAATCAAGACGAAAAAATTATTTCTTATTTTACTTTTAGAAAACTTTGGCAGGAAACAATACCTTATCTTAAATTTCAATTACCCACAAGTGATCTCTGTGAGGTCTGTGAAACTTTTAAGGCAAAATTATTAGTAGCGAAGTCTAATAAAGATGAATATGATCAAATTAAAGTTCAATATGATCAGCACCGTGAGGCAGCAAATCGGGAAAGACAACATTACAATAATAATATAAATGAAAGTGCAAAAAATTTATCAATTGCACATGTTTGCTATGATTGGGCACAATGTGTGTCAATCCCGTACTCACCGCAACAAGTAGGAACAATTTATTTTAAAAGTCCATTTTCAGTTCATTTATTTGGTGTATGTAAAACAGAAGGTGGTCAAAACTTTCAATTAAACTTTGTAATAGGTGAAGATGAATTTCCAGAAGGTGTTTCTAAAGGTGCCAATACCACACTTAATATGGTTTACTATTTTCTTCAAAAATTTGCTCGCAGAGAGAAAAAAAAATTACATATTACTTGTGATAACTGTAGCGGTCAAAATAAAAATAACTTGTCACTTTTTTTTTATAGTTGGTTAATGATGTTGGGTTGGTATGAAGAAATCACGGTAAATTTTATGATTCCGGGTCATACAAAATTTATTTGTGACTCTTTTTTTGGTCAAATAAAAAAATTATATTGAAATCAGAAAGTTAATACATTAACTGATATTGAGCAAGTTGTCAATAATTCATCTAAAGGAAATACGGCAATTTTATATAATGACAGATTAGGTTGGACGTGGAATGATTTTTCTTTATTATTCAAAGATCATTTTAGAAATTTTCCCAATATAAAACAATATTATCATTTTAGGTTTAATAATTCACCTAACGATATCGGAAAAGTTTATGCATCGACTGAATCTGGAGGAACAGAAATACCCTTTCAATTATTATGTAACGATAACTTTAATGTTTATACTAGATTAGAAACTATAAGAATTAAACCATTAACAAAAGAAAGAAAATACTACCTATATACAAAAATTAGACAACATGTAGACTATCCATACAAAGATGTATACTGCGCAAATCCTGAAGAACCTAATAAATAAATAAATAATATTAGTCATTTACCTTATATATTAAATATATATTTTTTTATCGCTTTAGGGCATAAAATATAAATAATATAACTTACCAAAAAAGAAACAAGTAATGGTGATAAAAATCATGATATAGTGACGAAACGGCAGCAAAACGGCAGTGAGATGATGATGAAACGGCGGCAAGACAGCAATGAAGTTGTAGACTGAAGCAGAAAAAAAGAACACCAAAGTAATGGCGGAAAATCTATAGTGGTAACAGAGCTCAATATAGTTACGAAGATGAAAAACCCATGGAGAGAAAAAGGTAAGAAAGCCACAAAAGGAAAAAATGGAAGTTCAACTAGAAGAACAATTCACAAGCCTGAAGCAATAAATCGGCAACAAAGAACTAACTAAAGTGGTAATAATGT